CGAAGTGAAGAGAAAATATTGCTGAAATTTAGTCCGAAATGGTCTAACAACCCCCAAACATATCTTAGAAGAAGTAAACGGGTTCCCTAGTGTTATTTGGGGTTAGAATATGTTAGAATACAATGAATTTGATTGATTACAAGTGCTAGAGATGCATGAAGAGTGTTTAGAAGTATGTAGAAAAACTTGCTTAAAGTTTGTCCGAAATGGGCAAAGATCCCACAAACATTGCTTTGAACCATTAAATGGCTTGTCTAGTGTTATTTGGGGTTAGAATATGTTAGAATACAATAAATTTGAGTGATTACAAGTGCTAGAGATGCGTGAAGAGTGTTTAGAAGAGTGGAGAAAGACTTGTTAAAATTTAGTCCCAACTGGGCTAAGAACTCATAAACATTGCGGTGAACAATTAAATGGTATGTCTAGTGTTATTTAGGGTTATAATATGTTACAATACAATGAATTTGATTGATTACAAGTGCTAGAGATGCATGAAGAGTGCTTAGAAGTGAGGAGAAAAACTTGCTGAAATTTGGTTAGAAATGGTCCAACAACCCCTAAAACTTGCTTTGAAGTATTAAATGGCTTGTCTAGTGTTTTAGGGGGTTAGTGTATGTTACAATACAATACATTTGAGTGATTATAAGTGCTAGAGATGCGTGAAGAGTGTTTAGAAGAGAAGAGAAAGACTTGTTAAAATTTAGTCCCAACTGGGCTAAGAACTCATAAACATTGCGTTGAACAATTAAATGGTATGTCTAGTGTTATTTAGGGTTATAATATGTTACAATACAATGAATTTGATTGATTACAAGTGCTAGAGATGCATGAAGAGTGTTTAGAAGTGAGGAGAAAAACTTGCTGAAATTTGGTCAGAAATGGTCCAACAACCCCCAAAACTTGCTTTGAAGTATTAAATGGCTTGTCTAGTGTTTTAGGGGGTTAGTGTATGTTAGAATACAATACATTTGAGTGATTATAAGTGCTAGAGATGCATGAAGAGTGTTTAGAAGTGTTGAGAAAGACTTGTTGAAATTTGGTCCCAAATGGGCTAAGAACTCCGAAACATTGCGTTGACCCACTAAATGGCTTGTCTAGTGTTGTTTGGGGTTAGAATATGTTAGAATCAAAAGAATTTGACTGATTACAAGTGCTAGAGATGCATGGAGAGTGTTTAGAAGAGTGTAGAAATACTTGTTTAAATTTGGTTCAAAATGGGCTA